AATAATTGTAGATTTCCCTACACCTTGAGGTCCACAAACACCAACAACAAAATGTCCAGGAAGATCACTTAAGATCTATATACACACATATTTATATTTAAATAATTAAATCTAAATGTAATATTGTAATATTTATGTGCTTTTAATTCTACATACATTTTCTCACAAACCTTTAAAATTAAATCATTATTAATAAATGAACCTCGATCATCAATCATCTTAATAAATGGTTTATCAAAAGATTTAACCGCTGCTGTTGCTGTTGCTGCTGTTGATGTTGCTGCTGCTGCTGTTGATGGAACTTTGCTCTCTAAACGTAAACCATTGTTAATTAATGAATTTCTACGAATATGATTATTGTTACTACTATCAATATTATTTTTTGTTGTTGTTGTTGTTGCTATTGTTGTTGTTGTTGTTGCAGCTGGCGTGGTTGTAAATATATCATCATTAACTGACTGAGCAACAGTGGTATGTAAAGTGATTTCTTCTAAAGCTTTAGTTACTTGTTTTGAACTTGTTGCTTCAGTTTTTTGAATCCTACGCTCAAGGATAACTGGTGCTTGATAAAAGGCCTTTGGTAAATTGTCTGGTGTTGGAGTTGTCAACGGTCCCACAGAATCCTAAAAATAAGTGGGTTGTTTTATTTTTATTTTATCTACAATTGACAAAATAGTAAGAAAATCAAATCAAATCGTACTTTTGATTTCCTATCACGTCTTCTTCCTTCACCACGTGAACGAGGCTCTCTTCTTCCAATCTTAGAGTGACTGCTACCATTATTACCACCCCCGCCACTATTTCCACCCTCTCCAACTGTTTCACGAAATAATCTTCCCCCTCTATTATCTTCAATAAGTTCATCCAAATCACGAATTGATCCACCTCTTGCCATTATTATTATGTTAATAAAAAAATTTCAATTTTGAAAATCTTTTACTAATTAAAATTTTGTAATTTGAACTTTTTATCTATAAAATACTGCGCCATTGCATCCTTGTTAATAAAAACTTCAACATTCCTACTTTATGGAGAAACCTTTTCTATTCCTGAAAACAGCACCAAAATATTTTATTAATTGTAATATAAGAGTTTCTCGGTAGAAAACAACTTGACTATCTTTAGTCTTTAGGAGATATGACAAAGTTAATTGTTTTAAAAAGAGATTTGTAAGTTTTTTCGAAAACTTACAATAATCAATTTAATAATTTTTATAATTTAATTATAAATTCAATATTTTTTTTCTACGCGTAACTAAAAAATACGTGATGCGTCAAATAAATCGTGCAACATGTAAACTTTGAGAACCCGTACGTATTTATTTTCTGCATAATAATAATAATAATATCGACGTATATTTTTTCATATTCCTTGAAAATCTTCAAAAAGGACTTTTTTTTAATACCGGAAATCTGCAATTTGCAAATATCCTCTTTGTTATGAGCTCCACTAAACTGAATTTTTTGGGAAGCAGGAAAATAAAAAACCATTGTAAGGAACAATTTTTGTTCGTAATTTTTCTTTGAAAGAAAATACCTTTTAATCCTGAATTGATAAATAGTACTCGCGTGCTTATATTATGGCTTTTTAATAATATTTCCGTGAGTTGAATATTTAATCGAACATCGCATTTTTTAATTATACACGATATATTATTCTTTGGACTTTCACCTATCGGTGATATTTTAAATCAATCGAAACAACCAAAAGTTGATAGGAGTAAAGCAAGCGAAGCAGTCATGTAATGGACATTTTCATGTCTTCAAGTTTCTACCTGCCTGTGATATATATCTAGATAATTTAACTCATTTTGAAAACATCATTTTAATTGTATCTACATATCAAGTGACCGACTATTTAGTTTTCTCATTGTCTACTGATAGCGTTTCAGTTCACTCAAAATAATCTCCATCAAGAGCATCAGTAAAAATGAAACAAATGCTTAAAGCAATAAATTGAAATTCATTTTCATATACTGTATCATGCATTGACCGAGTTTTCACCTATTGATGTGATGTTTAAGGTCATCCAATAAAGATTATATGATATTAATCCCCTATGTCAAGGCTACGAGTGCTACTTCTCTAGAATAAATAGGCCAGTAGGACTTACCGGCGCAATAGTCAACATTATTTGGGACATACTCCAGACAAAGTGAACATTATTATGTCACAAAGAAATTCAGGGATCAAAATTATTTAACATCACAAACCAATATAAAATAATTGGATTTTGTTTTAAATGCACATTTACTATTATTTAGATCTCCTTCCGAGTCCATCAACAAAACAAAACTAATAAGCCACGGATATGTTTTTTTCACTAAATTTACTTTTGAAAAAGCAATTTTATTCACTATTTATTTTCATAAAAAATCTATAAGTATTTCAAGACATTGTTATTCTTTGTTCTAGAAGTTATTCCAACAGCACATATTGAATATGACATTTTATGTCTTGAGTCTTTACAATTATGGTGTGATCTGGCTTTTTCAAAAATAACTACTTTTCTGATTTCTTCAACAACATTAATTGTTTTCTGCAGATGGATTAGCAAAAAGCACACTATCACATTATTGAAAAGATATGAAAGATATGTACAATATTTAAAATAACCTCAACAAAGTAACAATCTTTTCAATCATTGGTAATTGGTTGATAGGTTGTAGTAATTTTGTTACTTGAAGTAATCCAGGATGGGATATGAGAAACACCAAAAAGTACTCATAATTTTCATGTTCTGACTCCTGCTTTAAATTCTCTATTAATAATTAGGTTCTTGGCTTTCCAGTCAATTCTGTAAACATTATATTTGTGTCCTAATATATTCAAAAAGTTGATTTTTGCCTTAGAAATAGTTTCTCAATCATCTTTATATATTTTACCATAATATGAATTTCCAGAGTAAAAAATAGTTTGTATTTGCTCTGTTGTTTTCAAGCCCTTCTTTTAGTAAAACATCACTCATTGCAGCAGCAAAGTCAACTTTATCACTCCATTTTTTTGATTTAGCTGCCTTAGGCAGTTTCTCTGTGACTTAACCCAAATAAAATAATAATGATATTTAGTTGAATAACTCAAAATCAGAGTTTTTGGCTGGCTATCTTTCTAATTTAAAATAGCTCCTAAAATTACATAATCCAGAATTGTTTTGTCTAAAATCAAAATAAATATTATTGGCTAAAAATCATGCAGATCTTTCATTGAAAGAGCTTTATTAAATGGTCATGCAACTTCCAAAACATGTATTATGTGTACTTTTAACTACTTTACAAGCCTACCAAAAAATAGTCAATAGTTTCAATTATAATCATAAAGTTACTAGAAAAATGGACGCTTACATTTAACATTTAAAGTCTATCATGCCTAAGGCTCCATATGAGCCAGCTTGCAAGCCAGCTCGTGAGGAGCCTCTAAAGTTGGTGTCACCTGAAATTGATTTGAAATTCTCCAACCAGTTGCAACCTATACAGGTTGAAGCATCCCAAATTCATCAGAAAATTTTTCCTGCTGTAATATTATGTCCATAAATTTTAATATGCAACATTGTAATATTTGCATAAAAATTATGTAATATTTACACTGGATGTAATGATTCTATAATTTTTATAGGGCCCACTGTAAACTTATGTAAATATTGTAATAATCACATAAATCCGCATCAGAAAAAAATCCAGATGTTGCAATTCTTAGTTGCAGACACCAATTTACAGGCCTCAATAATTTTTGGTTTAAATAAGCTGTTTTGACCAGTGATAGTATATTAACCTATTAAGGCTAATATCATAAATTTCCCTCTATTATAAATAAATATAGTAAAAATAAATAAAGTCAGTAACTACCATTGTTGTTATTAAAGAAATAAATTTACATTTAATGAAATTTGCCCAGATCAGTATTAATTAAATCCTTTCCTTAACTTGTGGATCATGAATTAAATATTGGAGATTAAAAAAACATACTTGTCATATGATAAGTCACACTCTTAAGGAGTATATATGAAACCAAACTGTTAGATTGAAATAAGATCAAAATTGATTTTACTAAGTAATTGTTTCATATTTTTGACTTTGGAAATTTAATTTCAGTTTCATGGTATAGTCAGGAGACCTTTAGTCAACATATTTGTGAATGAACTACTCTTCACTCACTGATAGTCATTCAAGATTGAAAACACTTTATAATATGGATGAAAATATTGTAAAAAAGAATCAAGCATCTTCTCATTGCATTAATTTTCAGATTATTCTTGATGTAAAGGAAAATACAAAAACAAAATATTCAACTTTTGGCAGAAATTCAATGACCAAAAAACCACCACTTCAATAAATATTTTTTATTGACTTGAGACAATTAATCAAAATAATAATCTATTCAAATCAGACCTTTGTTATTAAATCTATTAAATTAAAGAGAGTTTGACTTTCCTCTTCTTGTTTTAAAATCATTTATCATTTCAGATCAATTTCTTTTTTTTGAATTTGATGTCTTCTCACTTAATATATAATCCCAAAGTACACTGCAACAACATGCTTAAAAAATTGGTTTAGCATGATCTACACTTACTGAAGAAATGCTTCTTAAATGGAACTTTGTTAGAGTAAGTTCTTAAATTTTTTGAAACATTTGTGCCAGTGCTTAGCATCCAATCTGACTCATCTGCTTAATATTTGATGTCAGAGGTACATATTTCTTGTTTGTTATTCATCCACATTAAAGAGGAAAGTTGATTAGTACCAGAAATGTGAAGTTGTTTGACAGATCTAGTGATCACAATCATCATATTCATAAATATTCATTAAGGAGGTTATTCTTTATCAAAACATCCAAAAACCCCTTGATTTTGATAAGTGTACCCTTAATGAATATTCATGAATATGACGATTGTGATTTATAGACCAATACAACTTATTAATTTCTTCTTTTGGAAAACTTGACAACCCCGCATAAAGAAAAAGGACTGACTTAAAATACAACATGCTTCTTGCAAATCAATTAAAATTATACTTGATCTTCAAAGTCATTTACTTTTATTCTTGTTTCTGGTTGAGATGATGAAAACAATGTTGCTGTTATTATTGATTTAATTTTTAATTAGATGCACCTACAAAAACAGAAACATTGCCATTGAATTTTGGCTTAAATACAACATGTGCTTGGAAGTTGAACCAAAACTATATACTTCCACATCCACATTTATATCTTCTAGACTTATCATCAGATTTTTCTCCCTCATAATCATCAGACATTCTTTCCTCGAATTCTATGAATTGCAAGAATTAGTAAGCATCACTAAATATAGATTCACTTACTGAATTAGTATAGTTGTTTGCCATAATTGTTTTTGGAGGAAGTGATTATGGCAATAATTATGGATTATCAATATTTTTTATGACATCAGGAAATTTTTCTGATGCAAATTTACATAATTATTACACTACTTGTGTAAGCTTATGTCAGACCCATAATATTACAGTAAGGGATCTTTCCAAATTTGGAATTTCTAAATAATGTAATGATTGAGAATATTAATAATTATTTGAAATACTTATGACTATTCAAAATCCCATCCATTACCAAAAGTCATCTGATGTATTTTGAATATTCATAATTATTTTGGATATTTGACTATTCAAAAAGGGGATGACATTTTGAAATTGCCATATTTATAGAAATAAAATGAAAAATTTCAAGTGGTGTTGGATTATTTATTATTTTTGATCATCCAATTAATATTTCTTTTTTTCCTGGCATGTTTGTCATGGTAAAAAACTTGGTGGCTAAAGAAATAATGGTGAGTATCTTATTACAAAGTTAATCAAGCAATTACCAGAATGGAAGTGAATATTCTTCACACAAAAGTCATTCACTCCCTGACACATTGGTGCGGAAAATAACCCTTTCATGGCGACTGGGCTTCTTCACTGCTTAACAAGAACTAGAGTATGTTTTATAAAGTCATACTTAGGCTGACACAATAAAGCTAGAAAAAAAGCAAGCAGGTTAAACAAGTTAATTTATAAAGAAAAAAATTTTTGACTAATTAGAATACAGACTTTTTGAAAGAAAATTATTCCAATGGAATGTTGAAGAAATTGGCTTTAATTTGTGACCTTTGAGGATGTGCAGACAAAATCCAATGACAACATATGTTGGTTTCTCCAAGGAAAATTTTATAATCTTATTATTAATATAAGTTAAAAAGCAAATGAAAAGTTTGATATAGGAATTGATTGAATTCTCCAAAAAGGTAAATTCCTTTATAAGATATGTCTTAATTTAAATTACTAAATATGATTCACTGCAGCTAGGAAGTCACAACTCGAGAGGTTGCAACCAAAAAAATTTTGTCTAATTCTGTAACCAGTAGTATTAGATTGAGTACAGTACATTTCATGCAGCGAGTATAGTACAAACCATTTTTAACCATTTTTGGTAGTGATAGTTGTATTTACATGCCTTTTCGGGTTGGGTGTGGGACCTACAATTGTACTTACTGTACTCATATAACCTGCTGCAACTGTCTGCAACTACTGCAACCCCTGATTGGAATCAATAAAAATGGTGATAAAAAGCACATTAATAATATTTTTCCTGACATGTGTTATTAGTATTAATATGTATATTAATATATACAGTAAAATGTGTTTTTTCAAAAACAATTAATAAAAGATGAGGTATTCATTTAAAAGATAATGGCAATAGCATAAAAGATAATGCTGTTTTATTTAAATAATAAATAGTAATCAACAATAGTAGTAATTCATTTTTGCAGTTATGTGATTCCATTTTTGATAAGTCATTATAATTATAGTTGCAGCAAGGAAGATGATATTCTGCATAATTAACCAAAACCGTCACATAATTGTTGCATAATTGATAATTATCAGATGTTCAATATTAAATATTTATAAAAAAGGAAATTTTATATGGGATACTTTGTTTTATGTGATAATTCTATTGAGTGGAGCCATAGATCAACTGTTGACAATCATTGCAAAAGTGAAGCTCATGAAAATGATAATAATAATATGATAATAGTAACAATTAATGTTTTTTGGTGCATAATAAAAAAATTTTTGTGCACAATTAATGCATAAAATCATCATCCCGGTTGCGGACAGTTTCAAGGGTTGCAACTCAAGCTTTAAATGCGAAAATAGTCACAGACACCAACTTTAGCTTTTATACTACTTGGATATATTAAATGCCTCTTTTTGCCTAATACTAATGAATGAAAGAATATTTAACACACTCGCCATTGATTACTATGGTGAAACACATAATATGCACTATTTGGAATTTTTCCAACATGTATTAATACTTATAACTGTGCTTTCTAGTGTTGCTTCGCTGTATTTTTTTTTGGTGTTGAGTTGTTATAACAAAATAATGAAACAAATGAAAAAAACCAAACAAATTAATTTCTTTGAAAATGGACACTTCTAATCTAACTTACCTGAATGGTGATTTATTAGACAGGGCCTAAGCAATGCATTATTAATTAGTATTAGATAGAAATGCTTGGTGACTGTAAAACGGTTCAAAGTCAGGTGATTAAGATCTTTAATAAATAATATAAGAAATCGCTCTACATGGGAAAGCTTAGGATTAGCATCATTTGGGGACTTTTTCAATAGAAATGAGGATAACTGGTCCCAGATCCATTTTGAGTTTAATACCGCCATATTTGTATGTAACTCGTCACGAGGAACATTTTTGGCTTAGAAACCATCCCAACTTAATGTTTTCCCTATTGATATAAAGTTTTAGAATAGTAAATTACTTGAAATGCAGGTATTTTCTTGTTTCTATTGAAAAGGCCACAATTGTGGCGTTTAGAGGAAATTTCTTTGTGACATAATGTTCACTTTGTTGTGGTATGTCCCATTTATAATCGATGTTTCTTTCAGAAACATATTTATACAGTTGACTCCATTCAGTCACCACCTCCCGTATAGTCACTCATCTCCTATAGTCACTTTCTATCATCACATTATTTATAATCACGCGCAAGCTTTAGCTGGTCCCGAGGGTGTGATTATAAGTGGGCCAACTGTATAATTTAAGACACTTATTCTGACCTAGCTTCAAAAAAACTTTTACTTAATTCCTAATTACATAATAATGTGCGTTTTTTAAAAAATTGCCAATATTTAAATAAGACTTGAGGTATAACGGAGCAAAGAGTTTTATAAAAATTCGCACATCTTAATATTAATGACATTTAATGAGACTTCCAATTAATTCCCGCTATTCGGAAAACATTTATTTATTTACTGTTGAAGCCATCAATCAATTGGTTATTCGAAATCTGTCAAAACATACACGGCAGGGTCAATTTGATAGAATTACACACGGAAAATGTGTGGGACGCGTACTGAATGAACTGCAGTTTTCAGTATGTGTTCAACGTGTGTTGTCTATTTTTTTACTAATCAAATATTTATTGTGTCAAAGCATTACATGACGTGCAGAATTACAGAATCCATCGAAATAAACTTTAAACTTTAAAACAAAGTTTTTCAAGGAAATTAAGGAATGAATGGAATAGTTTATTTGATATTACCAAATTTGAGTTTTAATTTCTTTAAAAGGAAAAAAGAGATCTTTTATTCAGAAAAGATCTTTTTTTTTAGAAATAATCTCGATCAATATCTTAAAAAAAATCTTTTTTCCCTCCATTTAATCAATATTCACACTTTAAAAAAAAAATCTCTACCACCTGATTAATTCTTGTTTACAAAAAAGCCATCTGAAATGTTATTTTTTTTCTTTATCATGATCACAATCAGGAAAATAAGCGGAGCCACACGTAAAACGCCCCGAGTCAAAGTCAACGGCAAGTTTCAAATTTAGTTATATTTAATCAATAACGGAGCCACACACAAAACAACCTGGTTCAAATTAGTGTTAGTGAAGAATAGTTATTCTTTAGATAATGGTTGATTGTGAATCGCACGTACGTGGAAATTAAACTAGCCAATCAAAGGGAATTCGTGCCCCATTTTTAGTTATAAATAAAAAATAAAAAATTAAAATACAAAAAAATAAAAAAATAAATAAATAAAGTTACATCTATTGTTTGTTAATAATTGTCTATCATATTTGCACCCCTTTTGTTGATATTTGTGTAATTTTATGTTGTTTTGTAGTTTTGTCAAAATAATAATTTAATAAATTTTTTTGCGAAGGACTTAGGCTGCCTAAATATTGAAAAAAAGTTTTATCGTCACCAATTACGGAATATATTGCAACGATTGCATCAACCACAGCTTTTCGTATTTCAGGTTTTGTGTCATTAAAACCCTATAGTAAATAAACGATTAGTTGGAAAGAAATAATATTATTATTTACTACCATATTGTTAGTACACACAATACCTTAATGGCTAATGGAACAACCCTTCCTACTTGTCTTTCTAAGGATTTTTTATCAAATCGTCTAACCAATTTTGATAAAACAATAAATGCCGACCCCTTTATGCCATTACTATTATTAACTGCTTGTAATTGTGGAGATTGATTCCCTCCAAAGTTATTCATAAATAGATTGGTTTCCATGATGTCAATCAGCGCATATAATCCCATTTGTGTATCAACGATTCGAACGTACTCATCCATAATTTCTTCAATTTGGTTGGATAACTTGATAATAAAAATCCCCAAAAAATGATAAATTCATTATTCAATAAAATTTATAATCAAATATTAAAAGATTATTAGTTCTTACAATAGAAGATTGTTCAGAATGACACTCTAACAGAACATGTAAAACATCTCGTTCAAAACTTTTAAGATAACCCGATTGATTGATTATTAGTTGTTGAAGTAGCTCGAGAGCATTTCCTTTTAATTCTAGATTTTGCTAAATTTAATTATTAAATAATTTAATAATTTGGACCATCTAAATTAGATCTTAACAAAATTTTCCCTCAAAAAATACATATCAAATACCAAACCTGATCAGATTCACTGAAAAAACCTATTAATGAATTCATCAATTCGTTAAATCTTTCACCGTTTTCCCAAATGTCTTTGGCTAGTTCTTGATCGGATAAAGGTGATTCTCTTGAAAATTGAATCAATTTTCTAAAGAGGCAAACATCAACTTCATTGTTGCTTAATCTTGCCAGGAGTGTAACAAGTATTAATTTTTTTTCTTGTGCAGAGGTGGGCAACGGTGAATCTAAACCAAAACCTATGATTTCAAAAAAAAAAAAAAAAAAAAAAAAAAGTATATATATATTTTATCTTTTTCTGATACCGTCATGAATAAAAATTTAAAAAAAAATCTTTAATAATACAAACGTTCGCTCATTTTGATTGCTCTATCACGAGCACCTGGAGTTGAACTTCCATTCCTAGCTGAAGAATCAGGGGACGATGGTGCTATATCAAATCTAGAATCAATATTATTTTTTATAATTGGAGAATTTGTTGAGGACTGGTTTTCTACATTCATATTATTACTATCATTGACAGGTATTAACTTTTCATCTTTCTCATCTATCTTTTCTATCCTTTGTTCTAGTGATAAATTTAGAGGTCTGTTTTTCATGTTTAATGGAGCAGCAGAAAAAGGTTGTTTTATTTTTGTATCATTATTGTTATCATCTTCAATTTTGAATCGTTTTTCTGGGTCGGTGTAAAAAGGATTATTTAGATTGCCATTCAAAGTGTTAGATAGTTGTGCCCAAGTGTCTTCAGTAATAATAATGCTGGTTGCTCTGTTAGCTGCTATTTCACCAAGATCTCCCGATATATTTTCCTAATTTAAATTATTTAATAAAAATTTTTTCAAAAGCTTTAAATAAAAAATGAATTTTTTCATAACTAGTTACCTCGATCAACTCCTCCTCTTCCATATCTAATTTTTTAACAATTTCATTTATATTTTCTAAATCTGAATTAATTTCATCAAAATCAGGAATTCCTAATTCGTGTGAAGGTGGAGGAAGCGACACAATACGATTGACAGGTTTGCTTACCACAGTGCCATCTCTTGTGGATGATTTTTCTGACTGGTTAAGATCAAATTCACTGATGGTATCATCATACTCATCAAATTCCTTTTGATTTCTTAACTCAAACTCACGTTTATAGTGTGCTTCGAGTTCAAATTCCTTTTGTTGCCTTAACTCGAATTCACGTTTATATTGTGCATCGTGTTCATGTTGTTGTTTTTGTAATTCATATTCTTTCTTTTGTCTTAATTCCATCTCTCTTTTATATTGAGCCTCACGTTGTTGCTGCATCTCAAATTCCTTTTGTTGCCTTGATTCAAATTCACGTCTATAGTGTGCATCATGTTCTTGTTGTTGTTGTTGTTGTTGTTGTTGTTGTAATTCATATTCTTTTTTCTGTCTTAATTCCATCTCTCTTTTGTATTCCAATTCCTTTTGTTGCCTTAATTCAAATTCACGTTTATGTTGAGCTTCACGTTCACGTTCACGTTGTTGTTGCAATTCATATTCTTTTTGTTTCCTTAATTCAATTTCTCGCTTATATTGAGCTTCACGCTCAAGTTCACGTTGTTGTTGCAATTCGTACTCTTTCTTCTGTCTTAATTCTATATCTCGTTTATAATGAGCCTCACGTTCAAGTTCACGTTGCTGCTGTAATTCATACTCTTTTTGTTGTCTTAATTCCATTTCTCGCTTATACTGAGCTTCACGTTGCTGCTGTAATTCAAATTCACGTTTATATTGAGCTTCACGTTCAAGTTCACGTTGTTGTTTCAATTCAAACTCTTTCTTTTGCCTCAATTCCATCTCTCGTTTATATTGAGCTTCGCGTTCACGTTCAAGTTCGCGTTCACGTTCAAGTTCACGTTCAAGTTCGCGTTCGCGTTCACGTTCAAGTTCGCGTTCACGTTCAAGTTCGCGTTCACGTTCAAGTTCAAGTTCGCGTTCACGTTCAAGCTCACGCTGTTGCTGTAATTCAAATTCTTTTTGTTGTCTTAATTCCATTTCTCGCTTATATTGAGCTTCACGATGTTGTTGTGATTCATACTCCTCTTGCTTTCTTAACTCCAACTCTTGCTGATATTCTAATTCTTTTCCTTGTTCATGAAGTTGCTGTTGCTCAAGTTCTTTTTGTTGCCTCGATGGTAATTCATGTTCCTCTTCCTGGTGCTGCTGTAGTAATTCAGATTCTTTTTGTTGCTTTATTTCCATCTCGCGTTTATATTGAGCTTCACGTTCAAGTTCGTTTTGTTGTAGTTCGAGTTCTTTTTGTTGCTTTAATTCCATCTCTCGTTTATATTGAGCTTCATGTTCGAGTTCACGTTGTTGCTGCAATTCAAATACTTTTTGTTGTCTTAATTCCATTTCTTTTTTATATCGAGTTTCATGTTCAAGTTCATGTTGTTGCTGCAATTCAAATTCTTTTTGTTGTCTTAATTCCATTTCTTTTTTATATTGAACTTCACGTTCAAGTTCATGTTGCTGTTGTAACTCTAATTCTTTTTGTTGCTTTGATTCCATCTCTTGTTTATATTGAGCTTCATGTTCAAGCTCATGTTGTTGCTGGAATTCAGATTCTTTTTGTTGCCTTATTTCCATCTCGCGTTTATATTGAGCTTCACGTTCAAGTTCATGTTGTTGTGGCTCGAATTCTTTTTGTTGCTTTAATTCCATTTCTCCTTTATATTGAGCTTCATGTTTGAATTCACGTTGTTGCTCCAATTCAAATTCTTTTTGTTGCCTTAATTCCATTTCTTTTTTATATTGAGCTTCACGTTCAAGTCCATGTTGCTGTTGTAACTCTAATTCTTTTTGTTGTCTTAATTCAAATTCACGTTTATATTGAGCTTCACGTTCAAGTTCACGTTGCTGTTGTAATTCAAATTCCTTTTGTTGTCTTAATTCCATCTCGCGTTTATATTGAGCCTCATGTTCAAGTTCACGTTGCTGCTGTAATTCAAATTCTTTTTGTTGTCTTAATTCCATCTCACGTTTATATTGAGCTTCATATTCAAGCTCATGTTGTTGCTGCAATTCAAATTCTTTTTGTTGTCTTAATTCCATCTCACGTTTATATTGAGCTTCACGTTCAAGTTCATGTTGTAGCTCGAATTCTTTTTGTTTCCTGAATTCCATCTCTCGTTTATATTGAGCTTCATATTGTTGTTGTGATAATTCATATTCCTCTTGTTGTCTTAATTCTAACTCGTGTTCGTATTCTATTTCTTTTTCTCGTTCAAGTTGCTGCTGTAAATAATTTTCTTTTTGTCGCTTCAATTGCAGCTCATGTTGGTATTCTGCTTCTTGTTCTAGTTCATGTTCATCTCTTTCATTTTCTTCAGATTCTTCTTCAAATTCATCTTCCCATCCAACCATATTTCCTACCGCATCAACAGTTTTAGAATCAAACGTAAATAAAACTGATTCGAATAAATCAGGATTTAGTTTGTGCAAGTTTATTAATAGATTACTAAGTGGATTAAAATTTTCCGAATTCTCCTTAGTGGTCAATACCATTGGGATGACCCGATTAACAAGAAGTTTGTATTTATCTGGATCACCTAGAAATCCACCAATTGCGCCATCATTTATTTCGGCTTCTTCAAGTTTAGGTTCAATGATTTCATTAATCCATGTGAGAAGCCCGTAGATAATTTTACGCCTTTGTGGCGGCGAGAAACCTAATCCAGCTGCTAACTTTTTTGGCGAAGTTCCAGGGCTTCCTAAAATCAAAAAACACTTACTTAATGCAGCTAAAGAATTCTCTTTTCCAATTGTATGTTTCATTTCTGGAAGACAGGCTTGAACAGTTACTGATTGCTCAGTTTTGTCATCATCGCTGGCAATCAAAAGTACTTTAAGAATAAAATGTTCAATCTTGACAATCTTGGCAATTTCAACAACATTATTTGCGGACAACAAACACTCAATCACTTTAGGACTTGAATCATTTATTAACTTAAAAATAACAGGTTTTAAGTCATCATCAGACGGAAGTGGTGACCTTTTGAACTCGTTATGCTTTCCTGTATTTGACTCTGACGATCTTTTTATTGCCAAGCTTACTAAATTATTTAGCCCATCAATACGTATTTTCCAATCATTGTGTTCCAATTGTTCCATAACTGATAATTTACGAATCTGAACTTTAGGAAATTGAGCAACTGAGGCTCGTTTTGTTAAAACATTCGCCCTTGTGGGTGTGGGTGACTTTGGCGGTAAGGGTGGGCTATCGTTGTGTTGTGGTGATAGATTGATTGCCCCTGATGATGATTTACTTCTCGTCATTGGTGGCGGTGCAGGAGATTTTGCACGTAAAGTAGTTGGGCTTTTTGACTGCTTATTAGCTAAAGAATTATTATCATGTTCTGATTTTAAAGGACTGGGCATTCTCTTTGATTTACTAGAACCAAATGAATTACGACGAGTTTTTTTAGTAACCGTACTTGATGAATTATTGGTAGAATTTGAATTTGAAGGTGAAGGTGGAGGTGGAGTGGCGGCAGGGACCATATCTTTTGGTCGATCACGTTCCACTAGTTTTTTCACAGCAGGCTCAAGATTTTTCAAAAGTCTAAATTTTTTGATTTAAGCGATAGATAAATTCCTGAACCAATTAAATAAAAAGAAAATCTAATTTTCTAAACAGACTTACTTTTCACCCCTTTCAGGAAAGGTTTGATAAAAAATCCAAAAAACTGAACGACATCCTTCTCTTACATTGGGATTTGCATCAGTCAAACCCTTTTTGACGCATTTCTCTAATGATTCGGCACCACCTGTTCTTTCCATCGCATCTCTTCTGTCAAAATGAGTCAGAAGTAAGGTTCTTACATAACCAATAGCAAAAATCCTTAGTTGTATATTTTTTTCTTCCATTGTATACCATACTTGTAATACATGCCGAGAATGATATGAGGTTTTACTTAGTAGTGCATTAGCAGCATTTGATGCTGCTTGACCAACTATTTTTTTTGTTGATGCGGCCATTTTTATGAGGTTTACTAATAAATTATCTGCAAATGGATCAATTGATGACCCAAGTCTCATTGATAAGTCTTTTATAAGTCCACAGGTAGCTAAAGTTAACGCTGTGCGTAAACTGGTAAGCTAACCGGTTATAAATAAATTATTATAATTATTAAAATTTGTTTTAAAAAGAAAATCCCAGAAAAAAAACAACATATTTAATTAATTTTTATACTTTTTAATTGAAAGTTAACATACTGATTTAATTATACCATCCATAAGTATTTTTATTCCATTCATAAAAGTGTCATGGTAGAGTGCAATAACATCTCCATCAATTAAAGTACGAAGACGATTTATACCACGCTCACGTACCAACCAGTTTTCTTCAGATTCTTCTCCCTGAAAAGGTACATATAAACTTTGCAGTTCTCTTTCTAATTCTTTAGCACTACAAAATAATAGAATTAACAGAAGTTATATGTTTGATCTATAAGTTTTATTTATGTTGTTTGATGACATACGATGTGGCTATTGCTTCAGTCATGATTTTATGTGGAGATGCATAAAATTTTATTTAGATAAAAAAAAAAAATTTGTTTAAAGAAGATTTTAATATTATATCAAGTGACTTGTGGAAAAATTAATTAGTTCTACCAGAATTTACGTGATACCACAATATGATGACATTGTTATTTATTTATATGTAACAAAACAGCAGTAAATATGTTAAATAAGCCAATCAATGAAGGAACTCTGCCACAATTTCAAGCACAAACATATATATATATATATGCTAAGTAGAGAATCACCACGATTGTGTTTCACATTTATAGGAATAAAGGTTTTCGGTCCAAACTATTTTCGAAAAAAAAGTAGCAGCTTTTGGCGACCTATTACTATTTTAATATAATTTTAAAAATAAATACTATATAATATTGATTAATAAAGTCTACAAAATTTTTCGTGTAGCAATTTTTTGACCAATCAAAATTTTACAATAAAAAACTATCCCTCCCTATGTGATTGATGGTTAATTAATTTCATAAAATGAAGCTGATTCCCAAGTGTTTAAACGCGTTAAGATATCCCGGCAGGTAAATTATAATCAGATCTCTTAATGCTTTATAATGTAACTTACTGTTTGTAAACACGCATATAGACTTTGGAAAAGCGTAGAAAAACCTACACTCAAGAAGTTTTTAGATTTCCGGCTAGAGGAGGACTGTTTAGAAAAACGAAGCAACGGAGCACAATCAATACAAAAATGAATTGAAAACCATTGACGAGTACTACGACGAAACGTCCGAAATCAGGGGCAAAGAGTTAAAGGAAGTTGACTTACACACGATTTATTTGATTCTACAGCCTGAGTTGTTCTATTCTGTCACCAACTACCCTGTTGACTGCGTGTTTGTTGGTGAGCATACTGTAAATAGTGTGTAATTTTATAGCACAACACACGCTCTGTCACTAACTACCCTGTTGACTGCGTGTTGGCAGTGGGAATGACTGCACGTTTGTTGGTGTATTAATATGAAGTGCGTGTTTTAACGGACTACCTTGTTGACTGTATGTTGGCAGTGGGAAATACTGCGTGTTTGTCTGTTGTTTCAGGCTGATTATGTGTGTCATATGTTTTCTTTAAATTAATTATCACTTTTCCATATAAAAGCTTGAATGAAATAATTCTTTTTTGGAATATACAGTCCAAGAGACGAAACATTAACATAGAGAAAAGGCTATTTGAAGAGGAAGCCCAGTTATGTCAAGCGAGTTATCTTTATGCATTTCAAGAATTCAGTGGCTTTCTGTTTTAACAACATTTACTAATGTCCACAAAAAAAAAAAAGGAAGAATAAATTGAAGAATCAGATTAATATTGAACAGGTTATATAATCTTTATATTAACATATTAAAATATCTATTCATTATAGACCCAATATATTTTAGATGTGACAAGGAGAGATCTTTATTGCAAAAAACAATTACAAACAAATTTGAAGAATTCTTATCTGATGAAAGGTTGGAACCTGATGAATTAAAGACTGGACAAAAGCAATTTTTGAGGAAGAATTACCACTAAATTCATTATAAAAAAGGTAAGAGATAACTTAGTTATTAGTCTGCAAAAAAATTATTTTACCTTTTCTAAAAAAATTTTTTTTTTTGGTTGCAGCAGATCAAAATCAGTGAAAATGAAGGGCCAGTTGAAGAAGGTATTGCTCAAGGAGACACATTGAGCTCAATTGTTGAAACCTCAAATAAAGACTAGTGCCGTAATCCAAAAAAGGAAAAAGTATGGTTGCAAAAGTGGTCGCAAAGGTAATTGCAACCACTTTTTATATGCTGTAAATACAATTACTACCATTATCATAATTTACAGCACCAGTCTTTAACCTCAAATATCTTTAAGGAAGTTAAATTTCCAGAGTATTACAATAAACTCAAAAAAATATGGAGTACCCATGAAGTAGGATCAAATTACTATGTAATTGATCTGAAAGATAAAGAAATATTAAGTGAAGTATATAGCCTTTTAAATGATGAAGAACTAAAATTGTTATTTGATAGGTTGAGTTTGGAAGATGAGAGCAAATATATGAGTACAAAATCACTTGAATATATGACATTATTTGATAAAATTATATATGATTATCTGAGGGATGAAAATGATGATGATGAGATAGTTGAGAAAAAATTTATTGAATTCAAAGATGGAAAAGATATTTTATAGTTTGAATGGGTTAACATCAAGATTTAATTACTTGTCCTACACTCTTCCTATTCAAGCAGAACAGTATGAAGGATTTTTATACCCTGATATTCATATTATAAAGAGCATTTTGAGTCATCTAAATGCAACCATAAGGATGGATGAAATTCTCAAAGATACAACCAAAAGATCATGGACTGCACATATATTAGCATATATTTTTTTATGACTTTTAGTTACATTAACTCTGTAAAATATTTCTCATGCAAATGTACAATTTCTACAAAACTTAATTCTCAAATCACAGATTATAAAGTAGATGGGGTGCATCTAGCCTAATCCCAGCAACTTTTTTTACATGAAAATTTCTAATTCTATCTAGTATGTCAGCAGATAAAATAAATCAGAAGGCTCTTCATAAACAGTTAGTTTGAAGCTTGAATTAACAAAAAATGAAGAGTTTTTTTTTTAAAATCACATTCTAGATGGAGCTATGAGCTTTTAAAAATTATCATTATTCTATGTTTGACCCAATTTGTTTACCATAAATCTTACCAAAATTGCTAAATTTGGCTGGAATTAACTTTAATTCCATGTTATCCATATAATGTGATTAAATATCAAATCAATTTTTAACATGTTTTTTTTTTGTTCAAAAAATTTAACTCTTTTTTGAAATTTACCAATTAATCATGCCTAAATTTACAAAGCAAAAAGCACATTTAAATAGACTTGCTTTAGTCAAAAAAAATAATAATAGCTCATCTGGTAATGAAAATCAATTAGAAACTAATTTAGAACAATTTTCATGTGAAGAATCTGAGGAAAGTTGGTTTGAAGAAGGAATAGATAGAGAATTAGATGAAAATTCTGTAAAATATATTGATATCCTCAATGAAACCACAAAAAATTACACTTCATCATCAAGACCTTTGTGCTATATAGGTAACTCTTCCAGAACTTATTGCTAGAAACAAAGTGAGGCTAAGAAAAATGCTGGAAAAAATGGTCAATTAATAACTGCATTTTTTGAAAAAAGTGAAGCAGATGTTAATAGTGAAAATGAAAGTTCTGAGGAATTTATTGAAAGTAATGATAAAGAAATGACAGAGTTGTGATTAGTGACTTAGAGAAGCAGCTTAAAAACAATGATTTTAGTAATAAAAATATCAAATAAATTATTTTCAAAAAATTTTAACAATCATCCATGTACTTTTAATTTTTGGATTAAAATACCACCATCAACACCACCAACTGATAAAATACCAAAACCAAAACCAATCAATTTACTATCCAAACTAACTATGCCGCCTATGGTGGATCCATTATCTCCTCAATGCTGTGCTGATAACTGGCCAAATAAATTTTTTACAATTGACTTACTTCATGAGTCATATAAACATAATCATACGATTCTTCATGTCCATACCAATACCCATCCATGTCCATACACTCTCATTCACTCACACCTCAATCAGGATTCTCTATGACTTGTTCATAAAGTGCCAATTTACAGTTTTTAGAACAGTCATACATCAACGTACTAAATGACCATCACCCTTGAAAACTTAACCAATGGATGTGTGAAATAACATACCAAATAACATGTTCGCCTAATGTTAAAAAGGTTCTTTAATTAATTGAATTCTTTTGTTTTTTGGAAGATTCTCTAAAAAAATCAATAAGTAAATAAATAAAAATAAATATATGCTAAAAGACCATTACCCTGGCAAATTTAACCAATGGATGTGTGAAATAATATACCAAATAACATGTTCGCCTAATGTTAAAAAAGTTCTTCAATTGAATTCTTTTTTTTCTTTGGAAAATTCTCTAAAAAAATCAATAAGTAAATAGGTAAAAATAAATATATGCTAAATGACTATTACCCTGGCAAACTTATCCGATGGATGTGTAAATAACATACCAAATAACATGTTCGCCTAATGTTAAAGAGGTTCTTCAATTAATCATGTTCTTTTTTTTTATCTTTTTTTGGAAATTTGAAAAAAAATTCTCTAAAAAAAATCAATAAATAAGTAAAAACAAACATATGTTAAATGATCATTATCTTAAAAGTTCAAATGAAGATTATAACTTAGCTAGCTCTTTTTTATGATTGGTTTATCACTGCACAATGAGATGATACACCTCCCAAGAGTGGAATCACAAGTCATAAACTTTGGAGGTAGTTTCCTAGGTCCAAAGCATAGGGATGGTGTAAAGGCAAGCATTTCTACAAGGCCCTCATAGAAAGGCAGTGAAAGAATTTTACGTTCACATTTCTTTTATTATCTCTATAAAAATTGTTTTTTGTTGGATGGATGATTTTTAAATTGTAAACAAATATTGAAAACATGTATTATATACATATTATTTCAGTCAAACATTAACACAAAGTATAAAAATGGAAATTTCTACAAGCAGTTGATTGATTGTGCCACACATTTTTTTGTTATTAATATTAATATATTAAGCTTTTGTGTGTTATCTATTGGTATCTATATATTTTGATTGATTTTTCACTATCTCCCATATCCCCAACTGAATTTCATACACTAAATCATTCATTCTAAGTTTGGTCATGGATTATAAAATCCCTGCACATGCAGAAATCGATACTTATTTCTCTACAAATCCAATTTCCGAATGGCACCTTCTCAATGTATATATGAATTCCAAGTTAGAGTCCAACCCACTTATGACAGCACCAGATTTATTTAGGTCCTTTTGTAGATCACTGACTTTCATCGAAAAAAACAAGAATGACAGTTACCCCAAATATGTTATGGAATATGCAAAAAAGCTAAGAATGACTATGAAGGTAAACTTTTGCTAATAAAGCTTACCTTTCAAAATCTAATATAGCTAGCTAATCAATAATGTTATAGACAAAAAAAACTTTTTCAATGAACTTGCCGAGAAGATTATTGAGCGCATTGAATGACAGCAATTAATGAAAGAGAATGAAATTGATATTCAGGAAAAACAGGTCCTTCTATTCTTTATACAGATAATCAGTATCCTGGCATAATGTTAACACAACAACTAACTTTTAGATCATGTGGGAACAAGCATATAAGTTGAAAGCATTGGACAATATAACAAATAAGATTATTCAAAAACGTAAAAGAGGCAGTAATGATAATGATGAAAATGAGTTTGACAATGATAGGACTAGGACTTCTGATAATGGCAAGATTGAACCAATGGTAAGAATAACACCATTTGTTTAGTTTCATAATCATTTTTAAATAATCTGTGCATACCATTTATAATATTCATTAGATCCAAGAAAATTGTGAAGAAATAGATACTTCTGCAAGAGGACATAATAGCGACTTCACAGTTTCCTCATTTGGTGTAGAAGTGAGCTCTAAACAAATATTTACATGGGTCTATGTAATACAAAAAATGGAAATAAAGGAAAATTCTTTAAAGGATGTATGTTCACAAATGTTTTCTGGAACTGATAAACTCATTTATTATATTTTCACTAATTACCTTTCTGTATCTGCATTTGAATAGTGGATTGATAATGATGGACACAATTTTTCAGATGATTTTTGGCAATTTCAGAAGTCAATTATTGAAAAGCTAAAAATTGATCCAGTTTTAAGTTATGTAACTGATCTTGAGTCCATAATGTAAGCCTTTAATACTTAATCCAATGAAATTGTTGTATTTTTCAATAGGATGTTCACATATCATTTTACTTATAATAGTGCCTTATCAAGCATAATGGTATTAAGAAAGAACAAAAAACCAACTTATGTTTTATGTACTGACAATGGATGGCAAATGGCATTTCCGCACATTACCTATAAATTCAAGATATCAGCCCTTATCCAAGTCATTGTATGTTCATATATGCAGATAAATATATACATATACATCTTGTTTTATATGCTATATTGGTTTAACATGCTGATTACATGCTTTATTGTAAGCCTTTAATGATGGGTGATTTGGTTGGATTTGAAGAATTGCGGAGGTTGAACTGGAGTAAAGTGTCCTTATTGGAAGATCAAAATGATAAGAGGATATTTGATTCAATGCAGATTATAACATGTAATTTGTAAGTAGACAAAAATATTTTATAACAATAGATAATTGATCTGTATTTATGATAATTGGATATAATGTTATGTGTAGCTTTTACAATTTACCATATGGTAAAAATAAGAATTTATCAAACAAAGACACCTATGTTCACAGAACTTGTCATGCAATCTTGGAGGAAATCTTCCATGTTGAAACCATGCAAATTGTATGGTATGTTCTATAATATTACCTTACAATAAGTTTTTTCCAAAGATATTTATGAAATTAACTTGTCAATATTTTTATGTAGGGCAAATGGAGAGAGTATCTCGTCTAAAATCCAATGCTCAGAAGATGGCAACCATGGCTTAAAGCCGGATTTTTGCTTAATTTGCAACAGGGTTGGCAAATTGACTGGTCCATTGAGAACTGATGGACTTTGAGCTGGTCCATTGCAATTAATAAAATACTAAATATAGTTAAAATGTTACACTAATGGACCACCAATGGACCACACATTCGCCAACCCTGATTTGCAAAGATGCAAATGAGAGTGAAATTTTATTTGGTGAAATTAAGCCACCAAGAGTGGAAAATCATGATGAAATGTACGGTGTACTCATTAATGGTATGTGATCAAAGCTAATCCTATAATTGATGAGCAATATGCTAATTATATATTTATGTAATAGGAAACAGAATTGAGTTTTGGAGAATCACTTTAAATTATGATGGCTTATACCAGCTCTTGTCTCTAGTTGAAATGAATTTTCCTACTGAGGTGGCAGAATTCCTTGTGATTCTCTCTGTCATGGAGAGATGTTACAAATTAAAAGTAGGAGCCTATTTGTAATGCCTATTAGTTTATTTTACATCAGGAAATTAATTTAGTGTAAACTTGCATAAATCTTATGATGCTGAATGTAATATTGCATAAATCTTACAGTGCCAACGTAAGTTTTACACTTTTTTATTATTAAACTTATGATTGATATGTGCAAATTTTTTTTTATATTTTCCAGATGACTAAGCATTCTTATTTATATTATATATTTCATTTTAGGAGCTCATTGTTGAAACTGAACAATGTAGCAAGAGAAAGTGTAACTCCAACTCAGTGAAAACTATCAGTGTGGTTCAAACTCCAGTCCTATGAAGACAAAAGTGCCTATTATCAATATAAAAACATCTTAGATAAAGTATAAATTTCGTGTTTCCTAATTATATTTACAACATCTGAAAAAACTTTTTGCTGTAGTGTAATCGAACACTTTTATCACTTGAAATTCCTAAAAAAAAATATTTTTTACTATTTTATTAGTATGTTTAATAAATATCAAGCCCAAAATAATAAATTTCAATAATTCATTTTTTTAGAAATAAAATAATAATTTGTTTTAGTGTGATGGCAATTGAAAATTTGTTTTAAAAGATTATCATAGTAACAATATCATTTCTTAACATTAATTCACAAATCATTTATCAACCAGGGAATTTTTTATATAGATACATATAAGATTGGCAGGGCTAAGATAACATAGTAAATTTCTTATTTTTCAAAATGGCAACTACATCACAAATTTCAAACATAATAAAACAAAAAAAATCTATTATTTTATGTGGTATTATTTCATTATGACCCATTTTCAACAAAGCAGTAAGCTCCTTCAATATGGAAGTTCACATAGTTCATAAACAAATACACTTATGTATGCTAAAAGAGTAGTTTTATTTAGAAAAATTTATAGAAACATAGTAATAGTAATAACAATAACAACATAGAAAATTGATTGGCACAGAAAATTTTATATAACCCAAAACCTTCTAATTTTATTAAATAAAAAAATTTTTTTTTGGATTTCCATGTTTTTTGCCATTTTTTCTATTGTTTTGCATAAATTTTTAGTGTGATATAAATTTGGTATGTTACATAACAGTTAACAAACACAGTCAATCATTTCTTTTAATTAGTAAATGTGCCCTGAAATTTTATATTAAAATTCCCTGGTTGATAAATGATCTGCGAATTAACAATTCTAGAAAAACCTACAAAGTGAACATAAAATTATATATAGGGTTATAGTTATATGAAAAGTAATAGTGAAAATAATAAATACAATGAGATCATTTTATTATCATAGCGACATATATAAAATAAGAGAAAATTACTATACACGGGTTTAGCATGAATTCATTATTAAAGATGGATTATTTATTTAGAAAAATATACTAAATTCGAAGTTAACAAGGTCAAGGTCAAGGATAAAGACAGTGTTTTAATATTATTAAAAGGTTATGATCCTATGATGATATATGATCCTATCATCTCATATCATGATGATAGTTAAGAAAATTACAACATTATTTATACATGTTAAAGGTTCTATCATCTAGTTTCCCTGATTTCTGAGAATTCTTAATTATCCTAATCAATTGTTTTGTTTGAAACACTCTGACCTTTCCAGGTAGAAATAGTTTCAAGTTATTTTTAGAGTGAACAAATTATTTGAATTCCTCCCTTTAAATAGAATTTCGAAGTTAAAGTCTTGGAAGTTTGAGTTATCTGTTGGGATTTTCTCTGTAAGTTAATTATTTCATCGGTTCATTGTGTTGATTAAGTAACATTTTATTTAATTAATCCAGCTTTAGTTCTTGTTTAGTATTTCTGTGTGGGTTTTTTTGATTTTTGTTATTTTTAAATTTCCCATTATTATTTTACAATATCAAAAAGCAATTTAGCTGTTGAATAATTTTCAATTTCAGACCTGGGGTTTTGGATCTGATTGTGGCTGAGGGAACCCCTTGGAACATATTTTTTAGGAAAAGGATGTAATTGTGGTTGCTCTTCAAGAATCCCAAGGAACAATTTGCAGAATTAAGGGAATACTTTCAAGCTCTCACTAAATTAGAACAAGACATATTTTTAATGGCCCAACTTAAAGCCATGGGTGGCGGATCAATAAGCACTAGTAGACACCTTAAAAAGAAAACCAGATCTAACAAAAAAACTTTCTATCACTGGGATCACAATATACTCCTTTGTCAAGAAACTTATCTCAATATATTAGGGATTGGTAGAACTTATTTTGAACATATCAGAAATCATCTGATAAATAATGGTCTTCTACCAAGAATTCATGGCAATATTAAAAGAATGCCTCAATGGAAAACTAAAAGGTGATTGATAAAAATGTTGCAGAAGTAGTAAAGAATTTTCTGGAAAATTATGCAGAAGTTCATGGATTGCCAAGTCCAGGAAGAAGTATCAATAGAATAACTCATTCAATTGTATTTTTACCAGCTGAAATAAGTTATAAATCAGTGCATAGAGATTTTTTAACTGGTCTAGAAGAAGATAGTAATTTGAAATCTTTGAAATATGATGCTTTCAGAAAATTATGACATCAATTGACACCAGAAATTCAAATTATGAGTCCTAGGACTGATTTGTGTGATACTTGCAACATTTTCAAAATGGTTTACATTACAATGCTCACCAAGAGAAAGAAGCTAAAGATTTGCTCAAAAGATTTAAAGAACATCTGTCCAAGGCAAGATTAGAAAGAAATTATTATAATAAAAATACCAAATTAGCAGA